GGTGCATGAAATTTGTGCACTTGGGGGGGGGAGGGGTCCCTCAGCCCAGCCTGCGCCCTCTCATAGTCCAGGAGCTCTATGGGGAGTGGGCCTAAGCTGTCAGTCAGACATCCCTAGAGCTGCCGCAGAGGCGGAAAGGCTCCCACCACTGCCACTCTGCTCACCAGCCTTGAGCCGGGCTTCTGGCTGAGCGGCGCTCCCCCTGTGGGAGTGCACTGACCACTGGCGGCAGCTCCTGCGTTGAGCATCTGCCCCCAGTGGTCAGTATGCATCATAGCAACTGGTCATTCTGCTGTTCGGTCGATTTGCATATTAGCCTTTTATTATCCTCATATATAAAAACCCTGGGTCCTTCACAACCAGAGGCTTGACCAACAGGAAGTCAGTCCTGCAGTCAGCGCTGGTGACCTGTGGCTGCAGGCGCAGTGACCCAGCACTGACTTTAGGGGAGATCAGGCAGAGGGTTTGGGCAATCAGGAAGGCAGACAGAGGCAGTTAGGGGCGATCAGGCAAGGCAGGCAGGTGAGCGGTTAGGAGCCAGCAGTCCCAGATTGTGAGAGGGATTCCCGACTGCCAGCAGTCGGACATCCCCCAAAGGGTCCTCGATTGGAGAAGGTGCAGGCTGGGCTGACGGAACACCCCCCGCCTCCCACGCACAAATTTCATGCGCCGGGCCACTAGTATAGGATAAAAGTCATGCCTATCTCGGTCACTTTAAGACTTGACTAAGTGGAGAGCCATATGCCATTTTCCTAGATGAAAAAAATTTATTTTTGTAAAATATAAATAACCCATACATTTTTAATGTGATCCCAATCAAAATCCCAATGTGATGCTTTTGTAATGTGATTCTAGATTAAAATTCTACCTGTACAAGTAAATGTAAGAATATTCATGCCAAAGTTTTAAATGAATAATAATATTTTAGTCACTTTATAAAACTGCAATAATGAAACAGATGGTGGCCATGTAGGACTAGCTAGATAAACAGTCCAAAGTAGAAAATTTAGACACAAAATTTGGGATATATGGTAATTCAGTTATTATAATGGATTAGACCAGCAATTTTCAACATGCAATAACTGACTATTTAGTCAGGGACACTGACCTATTTTCCCTATTGTCAAACAATAGCCAACATAGCAATAGCCGTCGCATTATCTGTCCAGAATGAATCAAAATTATACCTATTTTTGTCAGATTGGCAAAAAACATAATATAATTTTTTTTGTGCCACAGAATTTTAGTAATTAGTTTAGGTGTGCCATGAGATGAAGAAGGTTGAGCATCATTGGAGTAGACAGTTAGTGGTGTTGAAATAACTGATTTGTCATTTGGAAGACAGTTCTCAGCACACACAGCAAGTTCATCTGTGAGTCTATCCATGAGCACGGTGGTCTTGCACGGCCAGTGGACGTTGCTGTGCAAAAGGCAGTGTAATGTGTCTTCTAGGTATGGCTGTCCAGCCGCCCACTGAATGTTCAGGGAACCTATATTTTGTCAAGGAAGTCCTGTGTTGTCTATATGGGAGTTGTGCTATCTGAGTCTCTTTTTTGAGCACATGGGGCCCACCCTCCAATGGCTGAATTTACATTTGGTGACAGTCTGGTCCTTCTCCCAGGTGAGAAAAAAAGCCAAACAAGAACCAGTTGCAAATGAAGAGCAATTTACAATGAATTTACTGGTGGGATTTTAATGGAAGATTTCTAAATGAAGGATTGCAAAGAATTTTATTCAGTACATTTAAAGATATTTTGAACAAACTCTACTACAATTAGTTGAGTGCCTAGCAAGGAGAAAGAAAAAGACAGGAAGATCTTTTTAAAAGAAGCTGATTAAAAAATTCTGGAGGTGGAGATTGGCAATAGTTGCACAATAATGTGAGCATACCAGTAGTGCCACTGAACTTTACCCTTAAAATGGTAAGTTTTATGTTATGTATCTTTTACCACACTGGAAAATAAAAATGAGCCCTGGATAGGTGGCTCAGTTGGTTGGAGCATTGCCCTGTACACCAAATGGTTGTGGGTTTGTTTCCTGGTCAGGGCACATACCTAGGTCACAGGTTTGATCCCCAGTTGGAGCGAGTTAGAGAGGCAGCTGATCAATATTTCTCTTTCACATCTATGTCTCTCTCTTTCCTCTGAGTTTGTAACCATGGTCTCTTGGAGTTCAATATCTTTGGCCCAAATCACTCCCTAAATTTAATCTGACAATGATTTATTTATGTTTTGCAAATAACATCCCAAGGATTGATTTTATTTTTAAC